TTTGCTGGTCTGCATGACAGGCTGATGTCTTCCAAGGGCAATGCTGGCTGGGAGTGTCATCGGAGTTCGATTAGGTCTGTCTGCTCTTGTCTGAGTGCCGAGCCCTTCTTGTGACATCTTCTCTCTTGCACGCTGTCCAGGGCATACATGAGCGTGAAGGAGTTGAAGGACGCCCTGCAGCTCAACGGTACTCACTTCCTCAATGTCTACTTTGCCAGCTCAGTGCGGGAAGACCTTGCAGGTGCTGCCACCTGGCCTTGGGACAAGGAAGCCATCAGTCACCTGGGTAAGTAAAATGATGACCAAATATGGTAGGAAAAGTAAGGTCTGAAGGGAGTTTGCGAAAGTGAGTTTGGGGGGAAAAGAAAGAAAGAAAAAAATAAATTTACTCATTGAATTAGCTCCTTTGGGTTGAAAATGGCTTTGGGGAGAGAGAAAGAAAGAAAAAAATAAATTTACTCATTGAATTAGCTCCTTTGGGTTGAAAATGGCTTTTGTCAAAAAGCCATTTTGTCAAAATGGTTCAATGTAGACAAGTAAGAGGTATTAGAGAAAACTGTGATCAATGCCCAGAAAGCTGTAGACTGAATCTATAATTCAGATGTAAATAAATTGCTGGCATGAAGTAAGATTCATTTTGAGTCTTAAAGATCCACAAGGGAAATACTATCAAAAAGGTGGCTAAGCTATGAAATCTAGTTTGCAATAATCACTGTGCTGGAAGACAGGTGGGAGACTGGCTTTTTGCATAGGTTGGGCTCCTGAGGAGATCCTAGGAAGTTCAGGAAGTTGGGCTTGCCTGCTCACCTAAAAAAAGGGTAGACACCTAATCATTGAGCGCAGCTACTGAATACTTAAGAAAGATAATCTCTCTTACAACATCTTCTTGTTATAAAGGGAATCTTACTGGGCAATCAATAAGGATCATTAAATCTGTTTAATAAACACATGGATAAAGATTAATTATTGAACATAAGTTGTATATACTTTCAAAGAGTATTTGATAGGATTCCACCAAAACTTATTTTAAAAATGAATTACCAGGCCAACCCCATGGCGCACTTGGGAGAGTGTGGCACTGGGAGCACAGCAGCGCTCTTGCCACGGGTTCGGATCCTATATAGGGATGACTGATGCGCTCACTGGCTCAGCACGGTGCGGACGACACCAAGCCAAGGGTTGCGATCCCCTTATCAGTCACAAAAAAAAA